TCACCGTATATTCTCTAAGGGTAATGGAAATTGTAAAATATTGGTTTTGTACGTCTGTGTAATAGTAGTTGAATTTTTAGATAAAATTTCACACTTCTAAATCTATATACAAATGCATTTAGATAAATTTTCATTTCATTCTATCACGAAGATATGACTAGGAAATATTTTTTCCAAATCTGAAGAATGAATTTATTTATGAACATATAATTTTTTATGTTAGTTTTATAAATGCACTAATGCTTGTACCTTAATCTATTGAGAGTAGAAGATTCACTTTTATCTGTTTGCCTACCTGAAATGAATTGTGTGTAATTTGATTCAAGATCTCAAATAATATCGCATTTCTTATATTTACGTTACGAAGCAGTACCTCTAATAGTGTTCTTTTAAATATATATACCTATGCATAATTTTATTTTGTATTTAACGAATTAATTTATTGATAAAATTAATTTATTGATGTTATTTTTATGCAAATATTTTAATTCGAATATACAAGGTGCTCCACTTAAATCTAACTACTTAAATATTTCCTTCATTTGCGATGATACGAAAAATACTTTTCACGTAATATAATGATACTATTTACGTAGCACAAAAAATACTTTTACTACCATTCCAAAAAAGGAAGTATTTAGCTACATTTAGGTGGATGACCCAGTATACAAAATAGACAATGAAATAACAAAATGACATAATTTAAAATTCTGAGCCTTTTACGCTTTTTATATTTCTGTATATTATTTATTTATTGATGCAATCACACAATCTCAGTTGTGCATTAAGAGTAACGTATAAGTACTCTTAATGTATAAGTTTCATGATAAAAGGATATTAAAACACATTATATATACAGAAAATAAGCGCTTGCACTTAGATAATCACTAACAGTGGCAAAGCTGTGCGAGTGTATAGCATATATAGGATTGTTAGAAATTTCTAACAAGAATTCGTTATATCGAATCGAGAGAGAGAAGTAGAAAACATAAAGTCGAATAGTTTCTTCGACTTCGATTCAAGCTACACTTTTCTACATAAAAAGTGTAGCCTGAAAAAACTATTATTAGCTATAAGTAATAAACATAGTATCCTATGTAGTATATGCCGATGTGTTGTACAAAATTGTTTCGAATACAAAGGAAAGTTACTATGTAAAATGTAAATTATTATTTGCACGTGTAAACAGTTTCAATGTAAAAGAGAAAGAAAATTATATGTATATGTTATAATAACGTTAGTCGAGTTCCAAATAATGAAGAATGGTGTGCTTTTTGCGTATACGTGCGCATATGTATGTATGTACACACTTACCTATGTTATGTCCAAAGTGTATAATTAAATATTATAAAACACGTACAATATTTAGTCTACGCCTTTATTTATAATTATGCGATTGAACTTGCGTACGTTAAATAATTTTAAAAACGATCATTATTTATATACCAAATTGATTGCGTACTCAATTCTCTTCCATAAATAATTGTCATTTAGCTCGGACACATCACTTCCACGTGAATTACACTTGCATATACGCTGCTTCCTATGCCAATATTTTGTAAAAAAAAACAAAGTTCAGTATTACCTGTGAAAATATTTCTGTACGAGTTTTTATTACAACAAAGATTGTTGTGGATAATGGCATGAATTAATGCAACCCCCTAATACTCGAATAGAGAAAAAGGTAAAACATTTAGTTTTTGGCTCAGACATTGAATAATGCCCACGGTGGTATTTCCTGTATTTTCTTCGAATGTTATTAAGAACAATATTGATGTTGCATCACTAGATGTATCACAGATATAAAGTTTACCTAGCCTAGAGAAAATTATTGACGCTGCCGCTAGGTTCCTTTCTTTGGTTTTTGCGCAAATCATTAGTACTTTGACGATATCATATATGTATTACTTGCCTTAGAAAATGTAGTTTATATGAAAAAATAGTGATAGAATTTTATACAACTTTATATGGTTCATTTATCGTATATGACTTTGTCATACGACGGCGGCGGAGCCTCGTCCGCTGTATTGTGCGGTGGAATTAAAATAGCAATATGATAAGGTGGCGGTGGATTCTGTCTTACTATAGAAATAGATCTAATGTTTTCATTGGGCATTATAGTTCCAGGAGCGGCAGAGGTGATGTGCTCCTCTTGAACCGGATGGTCTATCGGTTGATTGTTGCGTCGGTTTCGGTAACATAAAATAGAGTATAAACACGCGAACAATGAGAGTGTCATTAAAATCCAAAACATCAGTATCTCTATACCTTGACTCTGCCGCAAAAGAAAGATTATACAATATTAGTTAAGAGTAATGAGAATTTCTCGATTTAACTGAACTTTTCTGCTTACTCGATCACTGAAATAAAATTTCGCAGCAGCGACGAATCCCGTGGCAAGTACAAATGTTATCCACACACCGCATCGCAATTTGTAACTCGCTAGTTCGGCATCATTGAATTCCGAAAAATCGAGAAGACTTCTGTTCGTGCCGTTTGATGTAGGATTCGACAATATCAGTTGATTATTCCCGGCTGTTGTCACATTGCTATAAAAAACAGAAAAGGCTTAGTCGTTTCGTTCGTCGTTTTCATAGCAGTTACTTTGAATATCAACAATTCCTTGCTCGTAAGAATGTATATCGTCAAGGGCGAATCATTTATAAGTAGTTTTCTGATGTTAAACATGCATAAGTGAGTCACCCTGTGTATAAGAAGAACATGTTCCTCAGAATCCTCTTAGTAGACCTTTTTCTTTAATTACTTGGAGGTGTTGTCCAGTTGTGAACGTTGAGTAGACCCGACCGGGCAATTGTTTTCGTTATCATTGTTTGGTCTTATCATTGTTCTTATCACTCGGCAATTATGTACGTTACTAGGGCCAGCAGCGTTTCCCATAGTATTCAGATTTTGGAAACGATGAAGCGGAGTAACCGTTTGCCTTAAGTCCGCATTGTGCCTGTGTCGATCTTTAAAAAGTCACAAATATTTAAGACGTTCTAAAATGTGGTCTCGTAAAACGGTTGAAAATCGTTTCGAATTATTGTCTTACTGAAGCGTGTTTTTGGCAAAGGTGTGGCGGGGTATCGGCGGCCAGCAGCGAAACCGTAATACCTGCCCGCCGGTTTGTTAATCCAGAAATGCATGCTCCTTTGAACAATTTTAGAAATTCATCGCTATTTACAGAATTCTTTGGTAATCGACTACGACATACGTTGACGTTTCAGTCTCCTGATGCCAGTTTCACGAATATCCTCGCAACGAGTTTGCGAACAAGTTTAATTTAAGTTCCATTGTCCACGTACGCGTCTCGCACATACTTCACATTCATCGTTTACACAAGAGACGTTCGAAGCATTTTATGTGGTACGCAGATTTTAACTCGATTTGATTAAAAGGCTTCAGTCGCGTTTAATATAAGTACTACATCGTATCAGGAGTTGGCATGTACGCAAGCGACAATCTGCATTCGAATAGTACGTCAATATCAGTCAATACGAAAGTAATTGGGAATTGAAAGTATTAACTATTCGGGTGAATTTGATCGAACAAATATTCAATCGGATAACGATTAAATAAAAATTACGGACACCATGTATTATCAATTAAGAATTTTTATGTTCGAACAAGAATTTAGTGTAATATAGTCACGTGATCATAACATAATGGCTGGTTGCGCTGGTTGTAGCTTGTAGCACAGCACGTAAAGTTTAAACTATTATCCTTTTTAGTTTTTAAACGTTTAGACGTTTTACTCGGTGTTGTTAGTTTCCCAAGTGAGTACCAGGTACCATGTGCATTATTTTACTTAATGTCGACAATGTACATTTAAATCGTTTTGTATAGGTAAATATGAGGAAGATATTGAATTCAGTAACTTGTTCATCGTGTTAATTTTATTGAAAAATGATCAAATCTAGAATAATGTCATTCACAATCAGGAAGTGTGTGTTCCAACGTGAATTGCATTTGTTGAGGCGATCTTTCTTTAATTCCACTGTTCTAAATGGCAGCAACAATCAAGAAGAACTCATATCAGAATCTAATGCTGATCAACAAGTGCATGGGGGACGTAAGAAATTGATAAGAGTTGCTATAATAGGTTTGCCAAATGCTGGAAAGAGCACGCTAGTGAATAAACTCATGCACAGATCTGTACGTATTCTTGTTTACTTGGAAATTGTATATAGAATAAATTTGATGTAATAAGAGTTCTTCTCAAACAATAGGTATGTCCTACATCGTCAAAAGTTCATACGACAATGCATAAAACCGAGGCAATACATACAGAAGGAGATACACAAATTATATTCATGGACACACCAGGATTGACAAAATCTAGCGAAATGAAAACGTACAAGTTATCAAAAACATTTAAAGAAGATCCAGAGAATTCAATCTCGAAGGCAGACGTCGTTGGAATATTACAAGATGTAACTAATGTATATACCAGACATAAATTTGATAAATTCGTTCTTGAATACTTGAAAAATAGAAGGGAAGATACAGATCTATTGTTGATTCTTAATAAAGTTGATAAATTGAAGAAAAAGGATGCTTTGTTAGAGGTGACAAGGCTATTAACAAATAAAGAAGATTATCCAACGTTCAATGACATATTTATGGTGTCTGCACTTGATGGAGATGGAGTAGATGATTTAAGGGTAATATATAATTTACATTACAGTAGCAATAATGGTGTTAATACTGTATAGGGTGGACCACAAAACTGGAACCATTTCTTTTTTTCTTCTGAATATTTTTTATAAAATTAATTCAAGTAAGATTTGAATAATATTAGAGGTGAAGGGACATAATTGAACATAATTAATTTTTTCATACATGAAAATTTAGAAGATATATGAAAGTTACTTTTCTTATAAGTGGTATCATGTATTTTTTATTACACAATTTGATCCACCTTGTCATTCACTATAAAAAAACTGTTAACTTGTTTTTATAAAAAAACTATTAGTTCAGGAGATATTTTGATTTGAATTATTGGAGTGGTGTAACTGATATCGTTACTATAATTTCCAAAACAACTACTTGAACAAAAATTATAAATTGTATTTTACTTTGAATATTTTGTATTTCTTTACTTATTACTGTATACTGTGTTTATTTAAATTATTTAAAATTCCCGTAAATGCATAAACATCCGCAGTCTACTTATATTTAAATGTATGTTATAGAATTATCTGCTTGACTCAGCGAAAGAAAAAGATTGGGAATACGAGCAGGGTACTTATACCGATCAGCCAATTGAAAAGTTGATAGAGCAAACAGTTCGAGCTCAATTAATGGATATACTTCCATATGAAATGCCATATAAAGTGATAATAAATGTCGAGGACTTTGGTGTTAGAGACGATGATAGTATCTACGCTGCTGTAATATTAGATTGCCCTAGGAGCAACTATGTAACAGTTATGTTAAAATCTAATGGTTTTAAAGTTAAATGTTTACAATATCACGTAGAAAAGGATTTGCGTCACGCGCTAAGGACTCCGGTATCTCTCCGCTTGAGTGTAATCTGTTCAAAAAGTCAACATGCATAATAAAATCATTTTATTGTAAGTAATGTTCATTTTCATTTTGTATTAATAAATTCATGTACATTGCTGTAACTTGAAATATATTTTCTATAACGTAAAGTATATAATTAGAAGAAAATTAGAATTAGTAGAAAAATATATAAATTCTCATTGTTAGAGATAACGGAAATAAATGAATCACAATTGTAGTATACAACTTCAATTACTGTCGTTAAAAATATCGAAATATGGGAATCTAATGTCAGTTTTTTTCATATTTTCTTTTATCCATTCATTAGCTCTGGCGTTAAGTTCCGGGGAGAACATATCTTTCCATCCGCCGCTTTGACCTTTCCTCACAAATACCCCTGACTCTATCACGCCACACTCTTTTAATTCTGTTGAATTAACCATCGGGTTGTCTCGGAAATTTTTAATATCCAAATATTCCGCTAATTTTTTTAATTGCTCCTCTGTATAAGATTTACCAAGGAATTTGGCAACCTGTTTCATTGCTTTTGGGAAATCCTAAGTATAATATAATCAATTAGAATGCTATTAAAAGATGTGGGCTATGAACCAATGTTACTTACATGTTTCATATCTTCGTAGAACATGAATAAAACGTTTGGATGGTTTCTCTGTGCCCATGCTTCCTTTAAATGCTCCCAATAAGGACTCCAAGGGACTATTAGAAATATTAATTCATATAATTAGAAGAAAATTAGAATTAGTAGAAAAATATATAAATTCTCATTGTTAGAGATAACGGAAATAAATGAATCACAATTGTAGTATACAACTTCAATTACTGTCGTTAAAAATATCGAAATATGGGAATCTAATGTCAGTTTTTTTCATATTTTCTTTTATCCATTCATTAGCTCTGGCGTTAAGTTCCGGGGAGAACATATCTTTCCATCCGCCGCTTTGACCTTTCCTCACAAATACCCCTGACTCTATCACGCCACACTCTTTTAATTCTGTTGAATTAACCATCGGGTTGTCTCGGAAATTTTTAATATCCAAATATTCCGCTAATTTTTTTAATTGCTCCTCTGTATAAGATTTACCAAGGAATTTGGCAACCTGTTTCATTGCTTTTGGGAAATCCTAAGTATAATATAATCAATTAGAATGCTATTAAAAGATGTGGGCTATGAACCAATGTTACTTACATGTTTCATATCTTCGTAGAACATGAATAAAACGTTTGGATGGTTTCTCTGTGCCCATGCTTCCTTTAAATGCTCCCAATAAGGACTCCAAGGGACTATTAGAAATATTAATTCATTTAAGATTCGATTATTTACGTTTATAAGATATAATAAATACTACTTCTTCTTACCGAGATTATTCTCAAATAAATGCCAAAATGTTTCGAAATCGCCTACGTATCCTTGCGTTTTGATTGCTTTGTTCAAATAGTACCAAGAGACAGCAACGTCTTTA